ACATATATTAATGTACCAATAATATACTAATAAATTAAAAAAAACACTATACAGAGGGCCATACATGGTCCCTCCAGCACATACTTCTCCCAGCTTCCCTCCCTCTGCAAGCCAAAGTGAGGTTTTTAAAAAAATTTTAAAAATTTTTAAATTGTGCTAAAATATACGATATGAGTGTGGATTTCAGTGGTATTAAATAGATGACAGTCTGGTGCAACCATCACCACCATCCATCCACAGAATTCATTTCACATAACTGAAAGTCTGTACCATCAAATAGTAACTCTTTGCTATGCTTGAATGTGTTCCCTGAAATTGATGTGCTGGAAGCTCACTACCCAAGGCAGCAGTGTTGAGAGTCAGGACCTTTAGGAATGGTTAGGTTAATTCATTATCACCAGAATGGGTTTGTTACAAAAACAAGTTCTGCTAGTCTTGCCCTCTTTCTTGCCTATGTGATGCCTCTGCCCTGTTGTGAGGCAGCAAGATGGCCCTCAACAGATGCGTGGGTTTCTTGACTTCTAGAACCATGAGGCAAATAAACGTCTCTTTTCAATAAGTACCCAGCTTGTGGTAATTTGTTAGAGCAGCACAAATGGACTCAGACACTCCCCCATTCTCTCTCCCACACTCCTTGGCAACCAACATTCCACTTTCTCTATGATTTTTGACTACTCCAGGTAACATAAGTAGAATCATACGTTTGTCTTTTAAGTGGAATCAATTTGTCTTTTTGCATCTGGCTTATTTCACTTAACATAATGTACCCAAAGTTCACCTATATTAAGAATGAATAAGACACTATGGCATGTATGTGCCACATTTTATTTACCTAATCACCAAAGGATACTTGGGCTGTTTCCACCTTTGGCTATGGTGAATAATGCTGCTATGAATGTGGGTATACACATCTCTCTTCAACATCCTGCTTTCAATTCTTTTGAGTCTATACCCAGAACTGAAATTTTAGATCACATGGTGATTCCATTTTTAATTTCATGAGGAGCTACTATATTGCTTTCCATCACAGCTGCACCATTTTACATCCTTGCCAACAGTGGACAAGGGCACCAAATTTTCTGCATCCTTCCCAGCATTTATTTTGGGTTGTTTTGGGTTGTTTGGGGGTTTTTTGTTCTTTTTTTTTTTTTTTTTTCTTAAAGAACAGACATAGATGCGAAGTGGTATCTCACTGTGATTTTGATTTTTCATTTCCCTGAGCTGAAGATTTTGCACTGCAAACAAGTCTAGCCTAACTAAACTACAATTTAAAAAGTAAAAAATGCTCATACTCTCAAAATGCTATTGTTGGGCCAGGTGTTGCGGTGCATGCCCATAAATCCAATGATTCAGGAAGGTGAGACAGGCACATCACAAGTTTGAGGCCAACCTGGGCAACTTAGCAAGACCCTGTCTCAAAATAAAATCCAGAAAGAGCTAGGAATGCAGCTCTAGAGAATTCCTCTAGAGAATTCCTCAGCAAAACCAGGAAAGCTCAAATTCTTTGTGGAAGAGTACCCCTAGGTGCATTATCTAGTGCAGTTAAAACAAGCAAACAAACAAACAAAAAAAAAAACTATTTTGGCTAGAAGCAATTTTTCCTATCCCTATGATAAGACCCCTCAGGAAGCCCAGCTCATTCTCACTATGTGAAACATGAAATTCAGAACAGAAGAGAGACATCAGTGGCATCCGTGTTTCTTACCCCAATCATGTATTAATGTTTCCTGGGAAATCTCAGCTCCAAAGTCAAAAAAGAGCTAACAAAAATTGTTGGAGTGCTATAGGCGTTTATCTTTAAAGAAAATTATTGTGAAAATAATGCTCAATGGGGGCAAACTGCTAAATTAAAGCTTGCATTTGTCATATCACCTAGAACTGGCTGCAGAAACAACAGGCTGCCTTCTGCATATTCATCCCCACCTGCTGAGCAATCCTCCTCCTCCACTGCTCACCTCAATCATCAAAACAAAACAAGTACCAACACTGTGCAAAATCATCTATCCAGACTTTGCTTCAAAATAATCCAAAGAGTGGGTGGGGGAAACAAATGAAATTAAGATCAGCTATGAGTGGATAATTTTGAAGCCCGATGATGGGAATGTAAGGCTCATTACATTTTTCTATTTTTGTATTTCTCGCCATTTCAAAAAAGAAAATTTCTCTAAAGAGATATACCATTTGAAACATTTCTGCAACCATATGAGACAGACAGCAAGCAGCCGAGAACAATGTTTCACAACAAGAACACCAGGCTTATCAAAGACAACTAGTTTCAGTGAAGAGTCCAGACTGGCACCCTGGTGCCCAGAGTAGCCTGACATCCTCCTTTCTGCTCCATGAGCTTAACTCATGTGCATCTCAATTCTCAGGCCTTACTCCACACTGCACAGAGGAAGATGGCAAATCCCAGCCAGGACCTAGCAAGGAGGGTCAGGGCAGCTTGGGCCTGACCAACGTGACCAGTCTCCCACCTGTATTTCCCAACCAGGCTCTCATTTCCTGCTTCTGGTTTTTCCCTGCTGTTCAGCCCCAGTGCACACTAACTGAAAAATGATTAACTCTCAACAGCACACATTGCCAGTTCTGCAAAACCCTGATAACACTACAATGCCCTTCAACCACTACTCGGACTTGCTGCAATCCTGAATTCATGAACTCTGCTATTTGAATTTACTGCTATAATGTGAGAGTAGGCAAGTGAGTACAGCTCCCCAGGAGCCAAGAATCTGTTCTAAAAAAGTTCCTGAAGAAACAGAGATGACCAGGGCCCTCAGCCACAGCAGCTTGAGGACAGCTCTGCTCTAGCTACAAAAATCTGGATGACAGTCTGAGGTGAAGGAAGAACAGCCAGCAGGGGTGAAGCCAGTGCTCCAGTGTATCAAGTGTTAAGCTGTCTATAGCCCAGGTGGCCTTCTATCATTCACCTGACCTGGAGAAGTGGGGGAACAGGCCAGGTGGGTCCAGAGGTTTCCCTCCAGACAGGGAGCAATGCAGGTCTGGGAAGCCACACATGATGTGGACAAGGCACAGTTCTCCCATTACGAGGGACCCACAGGAACAACAGTTGCAAGGTCCAGCAATGTCCTATTTCAGGAGCAGTGATGGCACTGTTTGTGAAAGGCTATTCTAAGCACAGCAAATGACCTGGGGTCAAAGGCCAAGCCATTGGATCCCCCCTGTCAATGGCCAAGCCATTGGATCCCCCCGTCAATGGCCAAGCCATTGGATCTCCAGAATAGAACACACTGAGATGAATTCCCAGGAGATGATGATATAAAATAATATTGAAAAGCTGGGAAGTCTTAGTGAGTCTGCCTAGTTTTCAAAAGTTCCAGTCCAAATAGGAACCACCAAATCCACAGATACTGTGCTAGTTAGCTTTCCATTGATGCAACAAATACCTGAGATAATCAGTTCATAAAGAGAAAAGGTTTATTTTGACTCACAAATTTGAAGATTTTAGTCCATGATTTTTGGCCCATTGTTCTGGAGCCTGTGGTCAGAAGCGGCACATCATGGAGGCAGTATATGGCAAAATCATTCACCTACCAGCCAGAATGCAAAAGAAAGAAACAAGAAGAGACCAGGTCCCACTAACTCCTTCAGGGGCACCCCTCAATAACCTAATACCTCCACTAGGCCCTACCTGTGGAACAGCACCTAGGCTAGGGATCAAGCTTATAACACATGGGACTTTGCAATCTAAACTTTCAAGAGCTCAACTACAACAAATACTAATGGTTGCAACCATTAAAAGGCTTATGGTTTAAAAGCATTTTTAATTATCATGTCCCTTATTGTTCTCCTGTTCCTCTTTGGACCAATTCTACTGCAAGACACACATGATGTATCTCAACTCTTTCACCATCTCCAGCCAGTGACCAATTTTTCTTCTTCTCTTTAAGGCAAGAGTCCTTTAAAGAACTACCAAGAGTCTCAGTTTCACTCCTTCACTTTCTGCTGGCTCCTTTGGCCAACTCCAGCTGAGTTTCTATCACCGCCCCCACTCTCACCCAGAGTACAGTGTCTCCAATCAAGGTCACCAACCACCTCTACGGTGTCCAAGCCACTGCCAGTTTTCAGTCCTCATCCTGCACCACCTCGATGAGACACAGCTGACTGTTCCTTTCTACTTCAGAGACTTCTATAACATGAGCTCTCCTGGTCTCCCTTTCACTTTAGTCCATCCATTCAGCCAATTCTGCATGGATTTTCTCCTCCACCCAGCCTCTGGCACCCCAGGATTCAATATTCCAAATATCCCTCTCCTCGGTCAACATGCTCACTTGTTTTGATGTTCTTCTTAGCCTACTCCTTCCTCTGATAATGACCTCCACCACGATTACTGACAAAGAAAACTGACATACACTGTGCTCCCTCTCACCCATGCTTGACTCCAGTCACATGGCCTTCTTTTGATCTTTGCAACTGCTATTATCTCTGCCTGGAGCTTTTTTCCCCCAGACTCCCATTTGGCTGTTCCTTCACTAATATTCATTGCAGGGGCTGTGGTCCACTCCTGAAGTCCCAACTATCTGGAAGGCTGAGGCAAGAGAATATTGAGTTTGAGGCTAGATCTCAGCCCCCAAGTCACCTCCTCAGAATGCTCTTCCCTAGCCACCCCAGCCAAGGAGCTTCTCCCTGCCTGCTTTCTAATGCCAAGCAGGCTAATCCTGCTCTTGGTAAACCATAAGCATCACACAGTCAAATGCACATTGAATTTGAATTGAATTGACAAGTACCATACTGTCTTCATTTCACTGGGAGCCTTCTGAGGGCAGGAAAGATAGCACCTGGGCCAGAGCTCCAAGCCTTCCTGAAACCCAAGGCTGAGTTAGGGGCCCTTAATCCAGCTTTCAATCACCTTGACTCACCCATCACATTTGCTGGTTCCAGAGCCTCACCTAGGCAGGGCTTGGCAATCAAACATATGCACAGAATCATGATTTATTCATGAAGGACTGCACAAGAAAATATGATTGTTCTCCTATACTTACCCAGAAGACGATGTTGTAGCTGAAGAGGAGGTACTTGTACCAGCAGCTGACCTCGGCATTCGAGTATCTGTAATAGTGCATCTTCTGAGAAGCAGGACCTGCAAAGAGACAGCAACTGATGAGAGCGCAGGTTTAGTGTTAAGGCATCTGCCCAAAACCTGCTCCCCAAGAAAAGAAAAAAGTTGAGGCTCATACAGATTCCAGAAATCTCGGAATTGTTTCTCTTTTGTCCTTTTGCTAGTCCAAGCACAGTCTACTACTAATATCAGCTATGTATGAGGTAAAAATCAGATTAGGTTGGCTTTTGAAAACAAACAAAATTAGGAGGAAATGTTTAAAGAATGGAAAAATAACAATTTTTAAAACGTCTTTTAAGTCCCTGGAGTTCTGCTTGGAATCATCCCAAACATTCAGCTCATCACCTCACGATTGGCTATTGATTTTTCCACTTCATGCTAAGGAAACAGGAGTTCAGAAAGGTCATGTGACTTGCCCAAGGACAAGAGAGCAATAATAGATCTAACATCTGCACCAAGAGCAGCTGACTCCACACTCCATATCCTTCCACACTCCAGAGCCAACCAAAGAAATGAGGAATCAGAGCCTGACCACGAAGAGTCACATTTGGGAAGAGGAAATGAAAGGTTAGGCAGGTTTGCATGATCCAACTACAACCAATACATAAAGCCAGAACTAAGGTTCCATATTCATTTACCTATTATCTTCCCAAGCTCAGCCTGCACAGAGGTGAAGGCCCAGCACCCTGACCTGGGTAGAAAGACCCCGACAACCCATAGCTGCCAGCATTTGCCTCCACCCCTTCTTCTCTGCCTTCTCCCTATGACCAACCACAGCTTTGGCTTCTTGGGGCTTATAATAAAGCTTAGACTATACAACCCCTGTGGGAACATCTTGTGACCTACATTTTGAAGGGTGGTGACTGCTGATTTTATCTGAGTCCATTCCCCAAAGTCTGTCACAATCATACAAAAGGGGGGATGGTCCCAAGGGAAAACTCTGAAAAAACACCTATACTTTTTTCCTTTTTGAACCCCAGTGATAATCCAGGTGATCCCTAAATTCCTCTACCATCCTCTGGTGGGGAGTGGTGGGAAAGGTGAAAATCTCTGCTGCCAAAGCAAGGCTTATGCTGGGGAAGGAGAGGATGTCTAAGCTAACATTCAGGGTCAGGATCTGAAGCTCACAGAGCAAAGCTCCCTCCCCAGCCCCCTGTTCACCTCCCACCTTCCCAGAGTAAGGGGAAGCCAGCTAGAACAGGGATCAGGGCCAGAACAACAAGGCCAGTGAGGACACAACCCATCCCCAATAGATAGTAAGAAATCAGCACCTGCCACCTTTGTATATTGTGTGAAGAATGACAACTTTCAAATTCTTACATGGCAGAAGCCATGGAAGCCCTGCCACTTTGCTGAGACAATGGTGCAGAGAAGGGACAAGGAAGCACGTTCCTCTGGAAGCGGATCGACCTCTCAGTCAACCCTCCTAAGGTATGGAACCGAGAGGCTGTCTAGAGCCCACCATTCATTCACCCTGCTCTCGCCTTCCCAGGAGAGATGGAAGAGAGGTAAACGCCCTGTTGGAAGAATCCAGTCTGTCTGACCTCAAAACCTAGCCAGGAAGGTGCCAACCACCCAGCAGCCCTGTTTCCTACCCTCCTACCACCAAAAAAGAATGCTTCCACAAAACTGCCCTGTAAGAATGAGGCACAGCCATCCCAGTGCCCAAGGACTCTGTGATAAGGACACACCCTTGAGAGGCTAGAACATAGCTAGACACATGTGAGGTGCTGCAGGAAGAAACACAAGGATCTCAGGTAGAGACAGAGGCATCTGTAGCAGGATGGCCTGACCCTAACAAGGCTTTCCCTCCTGGGGCCTTGGTATCTCCAACTAAAACAGGGTTTTTATTGACTAGTCCCTGATACCACTAGAGTGATGACCCCAGCTGGAACCAAGATCATTTATTCCAAATACAGATTACAGCACTTCTCACCCCACAGCCCAATTCAGTTAAGTAGGTCTTGGTTGGGCCTTGAGTCTGCATTATTGACAAGTTCCTCAGAAAACAGGGACATACTTCCAGACATGTGGCCAGAGGACCAGGTATCAGCTTGGGTAGGGGCTGCAGTTGCTTTGGGGATCCTCTGAAAGTAAAAGAGCCTTGTTGGTTGGGGTACAGCACACAGACTGAGGATCAGGAGAGGAAAACTCCTTGCAGACAATTAACTACCCAAAGAAACTAATATCCATCTGTTTTTGTATCACCGATTATAGAGCCCCAAAGCACTGGGGATTTTTGTTTTTGTATGGGAATATTTGGTGGTAGACTATAGATGGATTCAGACATGTAGGGAAAAAATTAAACCTAAAACTTGATTAAGTTTATCACAAAAAAAACAGCAAACTCAGCTGAAAATGTACCACAAGGCAGGAAAATAGTGGTAGAAACTGTATCTTTTTTTTTTTTTTTAAACCTACAAGACAATCCTGTTCCTTGGAATGCAAAATGTACCCTCTTCTTTGAGGTTCCTGGAGAAGGCTGAAAGGCAGATGGCCCTTCCCTTCCCAGAGCTGGCCTTAAAGACATGGAAGGCGAAAGAGCTGTTCAAACATAGTACCCAAATGTTTAGGAATCCTAGAAAGTGCCCTTTTGCCACCAGAAAGTGCCCTTTAGCCAACCAAACCAGAATCCCCCCTCTCTCCCTGACTGTAGTTCCATAAAGAAACTACTAATATATTAACAAATAAACCAATTCAGTTTGGGTGACTCATCCCTGTTCCGCTTGCCCAGGGTCTTTGAGACATGATTATTCTATGGTGACACAGGGAATCTCACCCTTAAGGACCCTTATCTCCTACAAGTTCATCCAGTTCAGTATGGAGAACAGATGCCCCACAGGGAACCTCACAGAGTTGCAAACAGCAGGGAGACTCATGCTGTGGAGCATGGAGATTCTCCTTCCACAGGGCACCTGGCTTCTCTCCCCACCTGCTTTACTCTCTTCATCCCACAAACCACACAACCAAACAAGAAATAACTGCTCGCACAGATGCTGGGGCCCAAAGCCAAGTCAGAGAATCCCAACAGCCAGACTTAACCCAAAATGACTTCAAGTGAACATGGTCATTGGCATCTCACCTTATCTGCTAACCAAGTCATACTGAAGGAAAGCAGAACTTGGCCCTCTATTAGTGATGTGTCCATTAACACCTATATCATTTACCTTAAAGTACACACACACACACACACACACACACACACACAAGACTAAGCATATTGGCTTCCTACAAGTAGATGGACAAACTTTTCCAAAACTAATTACCACCCCAGCAGAGAAGAATCCAAAATCTACTTTGTGTGCATATAAAACAATTATTAATACCTCAAACTGTCTCAATTCCAAGAACTTATTAATAAAAAAATATTTATATAGCAAATACAAGGCACATGTTTGTCATTTCATCAACTTCTCAAAACAGGGTCAAAGGTAGAATTATTTAATAATGTTGAGACAACATATCAGCAATCTGAGGAGAGTTAAATAAGCATGTCTTGGAAAACAGAGTATCTCAGTAGGTCCATGTTAATCATCTTTTTTAAATAAACGTGGGTTCCTCTTCTTTTTGTAGTTAGAGATGAACAGAATGCCTTTATTTTATTTGTTTATTTTTATGTAGTGCTGAGGATGGAACCCAGTACCTCACACATGCTAGGCAAGCGCTCTGCCACTGAGCCACAACCCCAGCTTAATCATCCTTTTTTTAAAACAGTATTTGGAATTTAATCCAGGGTTTCATACGTGTAAGGCAAGCTCTCTCCCACTGAATTACACTCAGCCCTTTCTATTTTACCTTGAGACAAGGTCTCTCTAAGTTTCCCAGGCTGGCCTTGAATTTGCCATCCTCCTGCCTCAGACTGAGAAGCTGAAATTATAGGCATGTGTCATTATCCCTGGCCTCATTTTCTGAGGCAACAGGGAAAAAGTACAAGACTACTCAAAATTCCCATATGATTAAAAGAAACTTTAAAATAATAAAGGATACAAATAATAAGTGATATGCAGCTGTAGCACTTATGACATAGGATAAATACAACACATAAACATTGATACTAAATAAAACAAGACTCCAGTTTTAAGTAAACAATGGATACAAACATTATGAAATGGAAAATCAATATAATTAACAGATAAAAATAATGTCACTGGAAATTTTAATTTTTAATTTTTTTTGCAGGCTAGGGATTGAAACAATGGCCTTGAACATGTGAAACAAGTGCTCTACCGCTGAGCTATATTCCCCCAGCTGGAAATAAAATTTAAACAATATCCAGAGATACTATTTCACACTTCTTAATTTAACAAGATAACCACCACTATTGCTGGCAAGCATGTTTGTATCTTGTTGGCAGCAGAGAGATCTGTTACTACCCTTCCATTTAACACCCCCAAAATCTGGTCATACCCTTAAACCAATAAATTCATGACCAAGAATATACCTCATGAAAATAAACCATGAGAAAGAATACACACTATGAAATGTGAACATCACAGTTTGCATGATGGAGCAAATTTGTAAGCACATGGGTAAAAAAGGCCAAAGTGGAATACAGGAGCTTGAAAATGGGTGCATGGTGTGTGGCCTTTAGGTGATTTTCCAAAAAGGTTTCCACTATCACCCTTACCATTTCCTCCCTGGTGTTATAAATGTAAATAGAAGCGACTGCTAGGGTAGGCAGGGTGGGTGGTGACAAGCCCTGCAGTCATCATAAACAGGGCTCCTGTCTACTTCTGTTATATTAAGCTGTATCATTCCTCCCCACTGTCCATTTGTAATTTGAAAAGTAGCACATGCTCAACTGTAAAATATTTGATCAATTCAGAAGTGTGAAAAGTGAACTGGCAATGAGAACCCATTCCAACATGGCTTTCTAACTGTTTGACCACAGCTCACAATATGAAATACATTTCATGGGTTGAGGATGACTAATTTCAGTGTAGAACATTTGGGATTGGAGCTTTCATATCACCAAAAAAAAAAAAAAAAAAAAAAAAACAGAAAGCAAAGCAAAGCAAAAT